TAGATACGGATAGGTGGATGCGGTTCTCAGCCACTGCAACAGCTGCACCAAATTGTCTTTGGCATGTGTTGTGTTTACCACTGCAAGAGTAGAGAGTAGGCCAATCGCCAGTAAAGCAAAACTAGCAAGTTGAGTACGTGAGTTCATTCTGTGAGCAAAGCTGGAACAGGAGCGAATTCAGTTGTCTTGTACAGACTGCAATAGCGGATCCTCGTTCGGTCATGGGTTACGATTTCAAATCAACACATCTGTTGAACGATGTCTTTCCCGTGCGTTGAATGGCGTGTACCAAGAAATCGAGAGTATTGGCCTGCCGACTTGCAATGGTTACAGCACTGTTGACACGGTGTAGCTCGTAGTGACACTTCTTCAGTGTAATCTTTAGCTTCCTGAGTGAATTGAAGACTGTTTACACGGCAGCTGGATCCCATTCTCTCTGTCAGCCGCTGCTGCACCAAAGCACCTTACGAATGCCGTTCAGCGGTCTATTCAACGCGCTGCATGACATCAGGAGTTCGCTTCCCCCTGTTGTTTCTTCCATATTTGCGCTGTGTAATGGTGCTCCCTTGCGTGTAGGCATTGATGATATATATTTATTTCTTGCACTGCTCTCTTTGATATCGGCGAATTCAGCAGCCTCGCGAGTGACCTTACTGTTGACGAAAACAAGCTTGGTGGGGATGTCGTTCTGTGTCCATGACGTTCGTTTGTACCATTGTCTCCTCGGAGCTGCGCTCTCTCGTCTTCCGTCGCTCACCTCGGTCGTTTCATGCGTCACAAGGCGTTTGTCGCAGTAATCGTGCAGCTGCGTAGGTTCATTCATACATCCACCCAAATTACGAGGCCACTACAAGGACAGGGGAAATCTTAGATCGATGTGACCCTCCTGATCAAGAGAGGGGCTCGCACAATCGCCCGCTGCTTACACGATGCGGTTGCATTGTCGTTACCAAAATGTGCTCTGAACACCGCGCAATCGCCTTACTCCTTACTTTTGCTAAACATTTCATGATTTTCTGGCAAGAATAATGAATACTATTAATTTTGCGGAACGTCCGATTTGCTTTTCAAAACGTCCAGAGTAGTTTGTAAAGCGTCCGATTTAAAGTGATAATAGCATACATATATAGTAGTTATTTGGCGAAAGGTAGTTGCTGATCGTTGAGTACTGATTATCCAGTACCGGCTTTGTATTTTTGATTCCAATGGGACCACACTAGCTGCAGGATTACAAGCGTTTTCAGCCCAGAGGACTCAACATTCGTTTTCTCATTTGAGTGAAGAACTGGCTGTGGTAATCAACAATTATCTCTGGATTTCAAGTACTCTACAACGCTTCCTCACTTTGGAGTGAAATTCGCAATTTGGAGTTCAAGCCTCAACAATTTTCGTTTCAAGTGGCCAGGTTGTACCATGCACCTCAAGAAAAATTGCCCTGGAAAATCCGTGTAAAGTGAACAACCACGGCAAGTAACTGACTAAAGATCACCATAATGATGCTGACGCATCATGTTCCGGTTCACGTGCTAACCATGAAAATGAGCATTGTAGTATTACCTGTTCTTCCATAGGCTTAAACTTAGCTGGGAATGTGAAAATTACTGGTGTTGTTTGCATCAGTTAAATTAAGTGCACCATATCCCTGCTAGATTGAAAATGTCGTCTACTCTATCTCATCTACTTTCGATTGGCGGCATCCGTATTCGGATTTACCTGTCGCTGTGGCCTGCATAAGAACAGCCACGAGACGCCTGCGCATATAGAAGGACCATAGGTGGCTTAAGCGGCACTACCCACAGACCCGATATCCAGCGTAAGTCCGAAGCAATAAGACCGGGAGGCATCATCAAAGAGCCGGTTCACACACCTTCAACATGTACAACAGTATCTCTGTCTATTTCGGGAATCATGCGTATCAGACGTACACAAAGTGGTGGCTGGGCCGCAACCCGTTCCACACTGAATGCATGGAACCACTTTTTGAATCTAGCACCGTCACGACGACGGCGCACCCCGTTCCTCAGCCACAATTCACAGTCTCCTGGAGCCAGTTCAATCGCGGTGAAGAGTAATAGAGGGGTAGGCACCTTCTCAACACTCACATCAAGCACAGCTAGGCATCGCATATTACACGGGAGGTTTCATATGCCCAGAGCGCGTCCGACAGACAGTCAGTAGAGTTTAGCCTGACTGAACACATCATATGCTTCATCAGCGTCAATCTTGGCAAGTGCATAATGGTAATTCGAATCCAGTATAACCACGTACACTTATATGCAGTTGTCCACAGTTGCGTACGAACAAACACAAACTGACTGGGGAAACATTAACCCTCATACTACGAATATGCATGGGTTTGGATTGGAGGTAAGACGAAGAGCCATATTCGTCAAATTATGGAAAGTCACATGTACGAGAAAAAGTAACCAATAAGCTTTAAATGTCTGTCATGCTACATCTCGGGTGCAGCTATGCGGCATTCTGCAATAATGATAGCTGTGCGCTGATTCCTTTCCGGTGAAATATACTAAAGCACTGACGTACTATGACAGTTGATCTTACCTTCTAAGTCTACTCGGAAGATTAATTTCGAACATCAACTTCTAGCAGGCGCCTCAGCCTCTAACCCCAATAGGAGCTGCCTCTTCAAAAGCCTAGCTAAGTTTAGTATGGCGGATGAACAACGGGAAATATAACCATGCTCAGTCTCATCACTAGCATGTGGATCAGAACATGAAGTATCAACATCCTGATAATCGCTAGTCAGTTAACTGTCGGGAGTGTTCACTTTACACGGATTTTCCAAGGCGATAAAATTGTCTTCGTGCGTTTCGCACGCCGTTTGGTATTTCGTATATGTTTAGTGGATGCGGTAATAAATGAATAAATTGGTTATTGGTCAGTAGATTCCATACGACATCACACTAATATTCGTTGAGCACCATAAAGCGCCACGCCGTCAACCGGTTCTAGCCAGTGGTGTTTGACATTGTGGAGGATGTAAGGGACTGAAATTGTTAAACTGGAAGTATGCGCTTCGACATTTTGTCGCTATGTGACACGATGACTACAGTGGGATTTCTTCCTGTGTAGCTTCGTGTAAACGAATAAAGCGTGTCAGTGCAGTCGCACGCATCGTGTGAGTAGAATGAGACCCAGCTATCTCAGTTGGCGCAGCAATGTTTGCCTATCGAGAGGTACGTCCGTAGTACCTAAGACGCAAAGCACTGCATTGTCGCTGTAAACGTGGTGTTCCCATAACACGCTAGCTATTTTCAGCAGACAACTATCGCCAAATGCCGAAGTTCGACGCATGTCATTCACAAAAATCGGCCTGATCAGACAAAAATACTTGGGAACGGGTTGTAGAGTGCAGTGTTTTCGGGTGGGCAACAGTTTAAGTTCCAGTAATCGCACTGACCAAGGTTCACTTCAATGTGAATCACAGTCCACATTGAGACTGCACTCCGCAATCCATACAACTCATTCGACGATGGTCAGTGAACGTTCAAGTTCGGGTTGATAGTGCTGCTTGGTACACCGTGGGTTCAGGGAGCCTCGGAGCTAGTTTAAAGCCTGGATAGTGTGTGGTGCGGGGACGCATTACTGTATGATCCTAACCTGAACAAGTGTTCCAGAACTGCCAGAAATACTACACCGGTGGTGGGCACTTCTGGCAAATGATATCAAGGTACCGTGCTGTTCGGTGCAAGTCGGTTAACACAATGAGACCGCTGCACTATAGGGGTATGTGACGTATGGCGCGCGAATGAAGTGCAGCCACCAGTGTCGGTGAAACAAGCAACACCGCCTATGATGTGTCCGGAACCTGAGCGCCCATATCATTGGCAACGAACGCATCACCCGCATTCCTAACTACTATGCTGAGGGATGATGTTCACAAAATACTCATAACAGGTATAGCAGATATAGTTCGTCGAAGCCTGCACCGAAAAAAGTAAAGGATGTCTCAACCGCTGATCAGCATCTCCGTCTTTGAGCACCGTTGCTTGCAGACCATTGCCCGTGTGGTGGATGCACCGCGTAACCAATGCGGAAGTTATAGTGTCTTGTGTGGAGGCATCCACTCGATCGAGAAGCTCGCTCCGCTGCGTCAGCTGCAGTGGCTTGGACACGTACTGCGCATGCCCGCTCATCGTCTTCCGTGACGGGCGTTGTCCGTGGTTTCTGCACGGGACTGGAGGAGACGGCGCGGTGGATAACCTACAATATGGAAAAGCCACATGAAAAAGTTGGCATCGGTCAGTTGTTCGCGACCCCATGGTTGGGATTTCAGAAATACAGTGTGTCGCTGGTTAGAGACCCTGGGAGTCATGGCTTAAGACCGACATCAATGGTGCAGCTCTTCGTGTTGCGGTGATTTCCCTTCCCTTCCACAACAAAACAAACAATCAAAAAACTCAAAAACGTTGAGTGAAAAACCAGTGAAAAGTTTGCCTGTTATCTTTTCCTATTCCTATGATGTTTTCTTATTTCTCCATGATTCTGATGGCACGATATCCGTACCACAGATTATGATCAATACATATACATGTAGATGGAATGGGGTCGGTTATCAGCCGGACTGGGGGACCAACATGACCCATAAAACGACACGGACACGTGGAGCGCAGTCTTTCGCTGACTCCCTCGCAACAAGTGCATGCAAAGGTCCGAAAAGAGCACACAAGTATTTGTTATAGTTACTAGCACATAAACCGGAGCAGTTTGGTAGCCCGTATCGGCTGTTAAAATCTACCAGTCGACCAAGGGAGAAGTAACGAGTGAACCGCATACACAACGGAAAGCAGACGTCAGTATAGAGTACAGATACCCTCTGATGTTCGCAATTAGCAAACTAAATACCTAGGATGCTGCAGCTCTAAATATTACAACAAAATCACAAGCAGCGGCAACTGGTTAGTGAATTCATGATGACCCGCACTGTTTATTCCATTGTAGTATACTTGAACGATAACGTTAATTTTCTTAATTTTCAGAAGGTGGGAAACGAGCTCGTGAGAAGCGGTGACAGCCATACAAGCGAAGATGCCAAAATATTTTTGTACTCAGATGTCGCTACGGATGCCGTCAGAGAAAGCAAACAGCCAAAGCACTTCGAAGTATGTTGTCGCACGGCGATTCCACAAACCGCCACTTAATCCCCGCGCTACGAATCAGTATTACATACACTATGTACTTGATAGAACTATTGATGCCAGAGATATTTTTCATCTGCACTCCATTTCCAGTTAAATTATTGTACCAAAAGTATTCTATTGATCACAGATGAGGAAAACATTTATGTTTACTATCCACCATGTTCAATTGCGGTTGGTGGGACGGTAAGCATCGTTTGCCTACTTGTACAAAGCCAGTAGCTTGTTTTTGATCTGATTACATGCTGACGAATCTGCGATCCGCAGAGCAGCGGTTTGGGGCTGAATCACGCTCGGTACAATCAACGGCGTCAGGCTACCATTATGTCGTCCGCTGCGAGAGTGAACTGCAACACAGATACAATTGCGCACGCAAATCGTGTTGAGGCCTCAAGACTAGGGTGATCGCTGAGACGAGTTTTAATCACAACAGGAACCATCGCGTTTCAGTCGTTTTCAAAGCTGGACCCAATGGGTGGCTTGTTGCGCAGTTTAGGAAATTAACTAAGCCGGTGATACCCAAATAATCACAATGAAAGTGGGACTAACAGCGGGAGATCGGCCAATGAGACGGCGCCTGCTGTACAGCCAAATTAAGACGTCCGAAGTGTGAATGGATCGCTGACATCGCTCAGCGTGATCGAAGCACGGTAACAGGTGCGAGTGAGTACTGCGTGTCCATAACACCATGCAACGGAAACTGACAAGGAGTCTTCGGATCGACCGAGAGAGTTGGTGGGTGGCAACGGCTCGTGAGATGGAGAAAGGTATCGGTAAAAGTCAAATACTGTTCCAGTTTATCCGAAGTACGGGTCCGAGAAAGGCATCAGCTAGTGAGACAATGGACGGTTGAGCGCTACATTATCTAGAGAAGTTCAGCAGGCCTTTTGTGATACTGCCGTTTGCCGAATCACCTGAACCGATGTGGGAATTTGATGTAACAGTTCCCACTTTGAAAGGGATTCGACTTGAGCCCACCGTGTTGAAATGAAACAAGAATCCTGGACCCAACGACCTTCATCTATCTCCGTAGAAAGATGGGTGACCTTTTTCTGAGTGTACTTGCTTCTTTGGTGAACACCATTCGTGACATTAAAGAGGTGCGTTCAGACGGGCGACTATCAACTGTCGTGCCCATGTTCAAGACGGGTCAGCGTACCTTGTGCAAAAAGCATCCCCTCTAAACTTCTCACGGGTATTATTCTTCGACGACTTACTGGTCCCTGTGAGGCAGGAATCAATGAAAACCGAGCGGATTTACGCACTGGGAGTGGTTGCATCGAGCACATATTTACTCTTCGCCAAGTGTGAGGACAGAGGAAAGAAAGCATCAACAGTACTCTAGTACAGACGCTCCACCGCTGCCTTAGGGAAAGACACTGCGAGGCCCGCCTAGTCCCTATGCAGACTCGAACCCGCACCCTCGGAATACAACACAGGTTCTTAAGGCTACGAGCCGGCTGGAACGGAGACACATCTGCAGACGACCGACTATGATGGTTTTGCTTGCCCTGAAAGCTGCATACGAATATCTTGACAGTGCCATCTTGCGGTACTACCAATTCGTGAAGAGCGTGCCAGCTATACTTCTTTCCATTCTGAAGTCTCTCCATCTTGACTCGCGAGATTGGGTAAGTCTCCGGAAAGCTATCTCCTAAGTTCCCCACGACAAGTGGGGTACACCAGGGTTTTCCTATATCTCCTTTACCCTACAACTGTGATCGAAATGATCATGAACGCCCGCGTTCTTTCAAACTTCCGGAGTGGAAGTTCTCCCTGGTGACGAACCGACATACCTGGAGTATGCGGAGGACACAGCTCTCGTTGGGTCTGATGCAGTGACTATGCAACCATTACTGGAAACACGCCGTTTTGTCGATCTTTTGTCAGTTTAGACTCAGTGAAGACTCATGCGTGTCTTCCATCGCCCGCGATTACACGCCATGTCCTCAAGTGTCTCCAAAAAGCGATATTCCTCATCTCGGACTCCCAAGCCCGGAAGATGTACGGGGCCGACGACGGCCAAATTGGAAGTCAGCACCCAGACGTTTTGTCGCCATGTGGTAGGTTGGGCACCATGTGATTTCTTTCAGTGCAGCCGTGTGCGAGCGAGTAGAGTGCGCCGTGGAAAACGCTCGCACGGCATGAGTATGACGTGACCAAGCCACTTCAGTTGACGCAGTGATACTAGCTTGTCAAGAGGTATCCCTCCGCAGACAACCGTTTTCATAGGCCGAAATCCGATCGGATCGGCCAAGACACGTTTCCGTAGAACAGGACCGCTCGATCACAGGCATTGTACACCTTGTCATTTACCGGAGGTGAAATGTCACGACGACGCCACAGATGTCTTACATCAACGTAAGCTGATTGGGATTTGGCAATACGGAGAGAAATCTTTCTTTCAATAGTGCCATCAGAGGAGACAAGGTAGATAAATGAAGCTATCTACTTGTTCAAGCTGCACAAAAGTTTAGAGTACAGATGAATGACTACCTGATTCCAATCAACCAGTGGCGTGCCCCAAAGAACTGTACTTGGGCCAGTGTTCGTTCTTATTCATATCAAACATCTCCCGCAATAGATCTAGTCACTACATACCCTGTTTGCAGATGATTTGAAAATATGGAGGATCATGGAGAACCAGGACGAGTGCGCTCGCCTCCAGCATGACTTAGAACGAGTGTCAATGTGGTGCACTGAAATGCAACTCCCTCTTAACGCAAGCAAGTCGGAGTTCATCAGTATCAAAAGACGTCCAGCCAATCGATCATACACCTTGGACGGCCAGTTGCTTCACCCTAACACATATGTCAGAGACTTAAGAGTGCTCTCGCAACAGGACATGAGATCACTAGAAAATACAGAGAAATTGTGCCGTGCGGGACTTCGTATGCTCTGGGCATTAAGACGCAGTTTCTCCACATAGTCCAAAGAAACCGTCCCTCGTCTATTCACCTCGCTCATTAGACCAATCCTTGAATACGGTGCTCCAGCTTACCATCCGATAACCCAGTGGGAAACTGAAAGGCTGGAGAAAATACAGCATATGGCAACTAGAATGATACCGAGTCTACGAAAGCTTCCGTATGAAAAACCTTGTGAAAGGCTCGGACTCTACACACTATCCTACCGCCGAGTACGAATTGACCTTATCAGGACCCATCGAGTACTACACTTAAATCACTTCCACATACTGCGGCCAATATTTCACCTGTGGGAACCCTGTAACACCCGAGGACACCGTCAAAAACTCAGGGTCCCCAGTATGAACAAAGTATCACATCAGCTTTGTATCGAACGAAGAATCGTGAACTTATGGAATACACTAGCGGAAGGATTAATAGAGGCCGGTTCTGTTAAGTGTATTGAAACATGTATCGACGATTATTACGGAAACCTGTGCTTTTGTGAAACGATGCACATACAATGCCAAAAGAAGACATCGTATACCGGGAAATAATGACACTAATACGAAATCCTAACCGAATAAGGATAAACGATTAACTGAACAAACACTATCGCTGCCGATATGCAACTAGGTGTTTTTGATTTTTCATAATTCGATGGTTATACAGAAATCTTTCGACTTGCTCTCAAATACAGTTTCAGTCTCAATAACAGCATGGGGGTAGGTGGATGCCAATCCTGAAGTAGGACCTTGCATTACGATGGGGCAAAGGTCATGCCATACTTGGTAGCTTCCACTACTAAGTGATTTAAAACGACCTGCATGATCTGTGGGTCGTCACTGAGGAAGGCAATATCATCAGCATAGTCCAAGTTAGTCGTCCGGTTACCTGGAAGAAGCTCTACGACAGAACACTGGAGACCATCCAGAACGCTCAATAAGATATATTCAGTCGCAAAATTGAAGAGAAACGGAGACATGGGGAATGCCTGTCGTACGCCGCAAGTGACAGAGAAAGGTGAAGAGAGCTTACCGTAAGCCTTCACCCAGCCAGAAATTGCTATGTAAAGCCCGAAGTATGGCGGTATACTTTTCGGGAACCCAATTCCTTTGCAGACAACGCCATAGCGCAGGATGGTCAACCGAGTCGAACGCAGCTTGGATGTCCAAAAAGGCGATCAAGATAGCGCTGCTAGAAGAGTTGGTGCAGCGCAAACATGCGGTGCACACACACCCACGACAGAGGCAGAAACCAACCTGTTCCTCACGGGTGTGTAGTTTGCGAATCAGTTAGCCTGCACAGTAGAATGGATGTTAGCAATTTGAAGGCGAAGGATTCCTGTGGTTGGGGCCTTCAAAGTGTAAAGTAGCGTTGCAGGGCTGGGCCGATACGCCACTGGTTCTAACCATCATCTTACAGCTTACGTGTTCTGATATTTCTCTTTAGATTTATAAAGGGAAGTTCCTGTTTTATCACCGAACAGCCAGTACAAGTGGAGGATCGGTACACTATTCTTTGTATGCGTGTCAACTCTGGAAGCTACTTCGCGTATTGGCAAAGCTCATCTATGGAGCCAGCGGGATATCAGCTTGTTATTGAAAGGCAAGTTGTACAACGCTGCGATAAGGTCGGTGTTACAGTATAGATCAGAGATCTGGCCAGTTCGCCGTGAAGAAATTAAACGCTTGGCCAAGGTTGACCACTGATGTTTGCAGAGTATTGCTCACATTTGGTGGAAACACCGGGTGAGCAATGCTGAGGCGCACCAGCTGGTATTTGATAAAATGCCTTCTGGTGCTTGCTGAATCTTAATCGCTTGCGTTGATTGGGTCATGTCCTCATATGCTCGTTGACCGACTTCCTCGGCGTGCATTATACGCGGCTGCTGCATCAAGTTGGTCGAAACCACGCAGTGGTCGGTCGATGACGTGGTATAGAAGCGTTGACTGAGAGAGTTGGTAGGGCTGATGCATGCCGTCCTCGTGGACAAAGGCCCTGGGGATAATCAGTACCAATGGTTGGAGACCATTACAGACGTGGCGCAGTCAGTATCATTCCTGCATGCGGTCACACCGTTCCAAATTCCCACCACCGATTATTTCAGCGCACCTACCTGATTTCATTTTTCTTACATCATATTTGTATTCTACTTCATTTTCCTGTCGTTGTTACCTATTTTCATTATGGCGATGTGAGTCGTGACAATTAAGATAACAATAATATAATAATATGTCAGCTGTACGCCGTAATGGCGCTCCGCTGCCGCGCGCGGGTTGAATATAACGCCAGGACGTCCACCCCTACGCGGATTCGAATCGCTGATCTTATGTTTGCAAGCCAGGCGTGCAGACCACTCGCCGACTAAACAACATCAGGGCGGTGGCAACTGGATCCACCGCACTTCGGTGCCCAAATGTTACTTGTTCAACTGAACTGAACAATGAGACGGTAGAGAATATTTTTTAATGAAAGGCACGTACTGAAAGCTGACTGATGGAGAGTAAGTGGAAGATGCTACGCTCCAGTGATACAGATTTGCTGGCGGAAACATCCAGCAAAATACCATTTCGGTTAGGTAGCAGATGTGTCCTCGCTTGCAAAAAGCTAACTGCAAAGGTCAAACGGAGTGATACAAAAGTGAGTTTCGAGTAGCCTACGAAGTAAATCATATCGCGGGATAAGCAAACACAAGCCAAAAAGACAAGGGTCCAAGTACAGCAGCGGTCAGCCGTCACACTCAGCCGATAAACAAAACGAAGTATCACAACAAAGAGCTTTGGCACGAGTAGACCAAATGTGAAACAATAAAGATGCAGCGACTACTGTGGCCGTTCAAAGTAACTGCATCGACTGAACTACCTATCCTACACAGACAGAAATGTGGCGCACGAACGTCCGGTGCGGAATGGCAGTTCCGGTTCTCACGAGAACAATTTAGCACATAAGTGACATCGTCGAGTTCTGTGAACAGAGGTTAATAGAGATTATAATGCTCATCCCCAGTCCTCAATGCACTAGTAACTGTACGAGTGGGACTAATATCTTCAGGAACAAGAAAGCAGATAGAATTTGAATTCAGATGACCACCTGAAAGGCAGTGAATTATCACGAATACACGTGAGAAAAACACTGAAGCTATTTTTCCGCCAATACAAAAAACAAACAAAGCAGAATACGAAAACTAAAAAAACGAGCAATATAATGCTGCGTATAACATTACGCATGGGTTGTGAGATCATCGTTTGAAGAAGTCAAGTATAAGGGACAAAAGAAAAACGTCACTGGGGCCGGCTACGGGTCATGTCAACCAGTGTATCATCCTTCAGACACCAGCGCGGCTGTCGGGAGACACCAACCGAAGCGAAGTTCAAAGCGACGGTTTTAATTCCTCTTGACCAGTTATCACTTGGCCTCTCCTGTTTTTCCATCCAAACCCCAGCTCGAAAACAACGCAGATTGCGGGAGTCGGAGTGCTGGCATGTACAACATTTGGCCCAGCCATCGGAGCATGATGCGTCATATAACGATGTGGAGCGATTCACTTCCCCTCCCTGCACTAAGTAAGAGACATCGCACAAGCTTCATTGTTCTGCGGTATTTCAACCACACATAAGCTAAACGGTAGCCATGGTCGAACGCAACCAGACTCTTTGTCTGCCGACACGATGGGCCAGGTGTCACAACCGCATAGGCAGGTTGAACATACAGTTGAATTGTAAACTTTGCCCTTCAAGGCGAGAGTGTAGCGCCGATACCGCTAGTGGCGGATTGGCAAAACGCCTCGGGCTTTAGCTATACTGTTCGTGACCTCATCTATTCCACGGGTGCTAATATAGTTACCTAAGTATCTAAATTTCGGAACGACTTCTAGCTGACCACCATCAAGGATGAGCGTAGAAGTGGCTCCTTGTCAATCTTGTAGGAATTGGCTTTTGGAGGACCATGAATTTGAAGCGATTGAACTGTGCAGATTAATAGTAATTAGCATCTTCAATATTTTGTGTTATTAGTTCCTTACAACCTATTTATTGCGCCATGCTCTCATACAATAGAATCCGAATCCCTCGGTCCGGCTGGTCTTGGCGCTCTCATTTCGTGCGGCGTTGAACTGGCTGGTGGCGACACAGCAGATTCAGGCAGGTTGTCAGTAAAATCAGCGGAATCCACAACAGATTTTCTGGCGACGGTCAGCTGTGCGGCAGCAACAGGTTAGCCGTACATTCAGCGGCAATCACAGCAGTTAGCGAGCAAACCGTTGCGCACAAAAGATTTCAAGCTCTCTAATCACATCAACAACATGGACGCTGACCATCTCTCTTGAGATGCTAGACCATAATGATTGCGACTCTCAACCCGATCTTAGTAGGGGGCTTTAGAAATGATCAAAAATTAACACCTATACATCGCGAGCTGAATATATGAGCTAAACGCGGTCAGAAGCACCGCACAGAACTCGAGAGTGTAAGCAGACAGCAACTTGAGAAAATGGTGGAAGTAGGAATTAGAACAAAGAGCGCTGAAGTTTAGTACATGCTCGGTAGAGTGCAAGTAAATACAACGGGCGATAATGGACTAATTCAGTTAAAACCAGCCTGTGCAATTGAATCCAAAACCGATGAACCGAATAGCCCTGGTCGCCCCAACGATCATTAACGAGTGAACAGTTGATCAAACTAGCTGAAAAGTTTGGATATGCCGCAGTCAGGAAATCAGATAAATCCGAACAAGTAGAATTCGAATTGTGCATCAAAGCTTAAGCTGTTCCAAAGCACAAACGTGGCACAGTGGAAGTTACAATTTTGGTGAGTAGAAAATTGACGCCAGGAAAATATATAGAGTGCACCCCGACTGTGAAGAATTGTATCACAAATTGTTTACGTGAAGCGCTCCGCTCAGTATGGAGAGTAACGAGAAAGAGGAAAGTCCCGAATTAAAAACCGGGGTAAGATCCACTCAGACAGTAAATGACCTCAAACGTTTTATTTGACAATGCGCTATGTGGAGTGCGCACACAGACTCAAAAACGAAACTAGTTAATACGAAGACTCAACAGGCTGCCAGAATTGTTGAAGTGATAGGATAGGGGCGAGTATGGAGTGAGGAGGATGCCATGACATTAGTGGCCATTTTTTGTACAACAGATGGAACAGGAGAGGAAGGCAGAAGGGACAATCATGATTATTGATGTAAAACAGCGTCAAGGGTTTGTACATAAGAGCTGCATTTTTTCTCACACACCTGGTGGAGGTGGAGGCGGTGGAGGAGCCGGGAGTACTTGGGGATAAACACCACCCCAATAGGAGCCGGCAACTGGTGCATATGCAGTAGACATCATTCCAGGAGCTACAATAAAAATGTAATGAGGTGGGTTATCAAAAGTAATAACACTAAGATGTTAGTTTATGACGGCAATGAGGAGTGTCAATAGTGGGTGTAGGTATAATAAGGAAAGCCGAATATCGGCAGAGAGTGGGTGGCAAAGGCAACAAACGGGTTGGTGCACAATTTCTGTCAGAATGGTTCGTGAAGATATGAAAAGCAAAACACAACACTGCATAAGAATGATATAAAGGTGATAAGACATCTAAATTGTCTAAGATCCAAGCTTAAAAATAAAGCTGTTTATAGAACATCAGCGTTTAGCGGGAACCAAAAGCCAATAAACTTGACAAACAAGCGTACTCGAAAGAACAGTTAAAAAGCGGTTCAGTCAAACCAAACCCCTATATGTGGGGAAGGGTCTGATTGGGAGCCAACGGTACCAAAAACGTCTTTAAAGCATGCGGCGCTCCGGAGCTACTAGATGGGCGGAAATCTTGTGGTGAAAGCCAATGCACAGACTTTGTTCTCCGTAGCAATAATGACTTTATAACTTCCTAATAGGAAGCCGCATTGCTGATAAAACGAAACCTGACACTGTTCATACAGACACCGAGATTGTGAGCAGATGTGCTTCCTTCCAGAGAGGGTGAACTATCTGGCCAACGGCAGTTATCGCATGAAAGCTTGATTACCGATTAAAAAAAGTTGACCTGTATGTTACAAGAAAAATGAAACATTTATTGTATAAGCGTTACAAAGGTGTTAACCGAACGTAGTGATGGTGAAAGAGATGTGTTGTAAGCACCGCGCATCGCTTCGCTACCGAAAGTGACTAAGAAAAGCTGGCAACAAAGCAATCACAAGCGACAAAAATAGCTCATCGGGATATCAAGTTCGTAAAGCCTGTTATCCAAGCAAGTATGATTTGACTCCTCCAAATACTACGTTAAGTATTCGCATCTATTTCACGATGGGACTGAGAATAATGTGACAGTCACATGAGCGACGTCGCTACCTGTTTAAAAGTCGAAGACCAGTTAACGATTTCAATAACACTTATTATGCTACTACGTAACAAGTCGACATGCGCGAACAATTTCAGTGAAAAAAGAAGGAATTTGTGATTGCGATAACTTACGTAAAATGCATCATAAAACTGGTCCGAGTTCAATTCATTCGCCCAGACTGCGAGCATAATTAGAATTCTCATAGTAAAAACGTCGCAAATCAAGTGGAACTTCGTAAAACATCTCAAATTCCGATCAACACAACAGTCGTAGACAGACTCACCGAGATCTTTGTATGAATGCATCAATTGAGACTCCCAAATCACAGTGCATCGTTAATGAGACCAAGAAATCAAGGACTAGATTAATGAGGCACTAGACAAAACCAAACTCTGAGAATGAGCAGCCGGAAATCACCACATTCTGCTCAAGTGCTCCTCTCGTGGTTACTGCGATAAAAGAGAGCTGTTGCCGCCAAGTTGGGCCCTATAATTTGCACAAATTGTAGCAAACAAGTAGACGATTGGCACTAGCCATGAGTTTATAATCTCTCAGGATTGACGTGTCATTTATGAAAGACATGCCAATATAACATCCCACTTCATCCGTGCTTGCCAAACCTGGGTTCCAGTGATAGAAAGTACCCATTATAATCACAAGCTCTAAATCGGCAGCCCAGCCCAACACAGGACTTTGAATCGAGTAGCATTCCGGTTATCGAATGAATGATGGATCAGTGTTGTGCGGTCTGGTTATCTCGCTCGACGATGATCGACGCAATAAGGCGAAAAGCTCGAGCAGTAGACTGTCAACCATTCTCATGTATAATACAGGATAAGAGGTTATGTGAAAACCAAAATGGTACCCGGTACATCTCATGCGCTTCTAAACAGACAGCTGTATTAGAATTGGCAGCTCCTTAACCCATGTATGCGTCAAGTAAGTGAAGGTCGAGCTGATTTCCAACCCGATTCAATGTGTATCGAGGTTATTTATATGCGCTGTCAAGTGATTAAAAATTATCACATTCAAGGACAGTAGATCAGAGTAATCTTCCTTGGATGGAAGGCTGTGATAGATCGCACTTGTTTGTAGCGATGCATAATTTGAAGGAAACGCCAGAAGAATCGGTCTCTATCCAAGATCCAATACCACGAAGTTTGAGGTGAAGCAAGTCTGTGGGAAAATGTCTAACTGGTAAACCGCGACAAGCAACTCGCCCTAGGCTGCCATAACTCCACTCCCTAGTAATAATCAACGAAGACCCCCTGGCCTATCGCTAATTCGATTGAAATCCTCGTTGTGAAGAGACAGTGATACACGATCTCAAAATAGATCGCGCGACTCACCTCGGCCAGTTCGGATACTGTGACTACATCTCCACGAACAGTTTCTTATGTGTACGCAGCCTTCAGGAAGGCAAAGCGAGTGAATCAAATCAACCATCCAAACAACCGTTGTGACATGCGCAACTCGCAACTCAATGGTGAAGCTATTTGTTTGCATACTCCTACTTCTGAATAACAGATTCTGCCCAGTGATTAAATGTCAGACACAGTAAGCAGATAACAGTGCCAGTGGGTGAGGTGACAACCCCGCAAGCTGTGACATGTACTTCACATCAAGGAAACACAAAGTACTGCTATACGAAAGAGAAGTGGAGTGTGGACGCACCACTTTATCTCTGTTACTCTTTATCGATGTGTGCCAACAAATTTCGTCCTACAGTTAAGTGCTCATATTCATTCGATTGGACCTAACGAGTGCTTGCTAGCGTGCTCAACTAGTCGGATATACTACCCAAGGATGATAATCCCAGGACAATTCGTACTTTCGGTATTTTACGTGCTGAGATTCACGCACGTAACTTCAACATTTCAAGGTTAACCAGTTTACTTTTGGTTTCAACTGCAAGACCACTCTGAGGGCGCCCAAATTCATTTCAGTTGTTATCCAAGATAAATATTGAGAAGAAAGCGCTAATGCATATACGGTCAATGCAGCCTTATTTGCAATACACGTGGGACTCAACCAAATTTCCCATTCATCGCGGCCCGATCGATAAGTACACGCGCACAAGCTTTGTGTCCAGCAGTGACACATCTCGTCGTTAGCATAGGACTGCGTGACTGAACCCTAGAGGTGACCTGGAAACGGCGAGCTCTAAGTGCGTGTGTGTCTGGTGTCTCCGTAAACAGCTTTTCCTCTCCTCATTATTTCTGAAACCGACAGTTCTATAGTTGATACAAAATTAGACATTTCGTACCTTTACACAATACCTCAAACTCGCCTCCTGATGACGCCTTTCCTTAGTATCGACAATGACGGTGCAAATTTACTGTGACCCCAAAAAGACCTAACTGTATTCAACAAGCGAAATGAATTGTATCCTCCACACAAGTAAAAATGCAAAATACAGAGGGGAATACAAGACAATGCCCCACAAGTGTCAGCGTCATTGCGCAAATGAATGATAAGAGTAGCCTTCTAGAACTACAACTAACTGAAATAAAACACAGGCCTACATTGAACCCCTTAAGCACTATCACAAAAGGCAAGTAGAAAAGTACAATTTGGTCGCGATGAAAAGAGTAAGGGAACTTATCGCCTGTTTCGCGTCGGGTGTTCAAGAACGAAAGCTTAAGGTGAAAAACGCTATCGTTATTTTTGAGTATGAATCGCGAACGCCAAAATTAAAGAAAAAATTGAATCCGATACCTCAGCTAATAACACGGCAACCTAGCAGTCCATGGGGCAGTTAGCCGTGTCGAAGTAGAGCTGGACAGCGTACAACTCGGGGTGGCAACAACAAATGCTTTTACTTCCGACTCCGTCACACCGGCCCAAGCGAGGCCAATGAACAAATGTGTGCCTATAATACCGGGACTAGCGGCTTTACTGGATCGAACAACCTGTATGTTGTAACTAAGCCAAGACCTCAGCGGGAAGCACAATCGATTAGCATGGGCCCGACTGTCAAGTCAATGACCGGTCGCAAAGGTCAATGCATATCCCCAGGCAAGTAAGGAAACGCTCGAAACAAGATGTCACCCATCCATAGCTTGTTCTCTATAATGCCAGGTGTATACGATAAATTTCCAACTTCACGATCACCTAATCCTTTCTATTCGTCCTGTAAGGAACCGTCTTAAGCCCCAAACGCTATTGATTTCCTTAAAACGTTCAATCGCAGGAGCACCTCGAATATTCCCTTCTTACATGTTATCCTGGATAACATCCTCATTATTATCGGGTGTATCTATATGTCACCTAATCCCAACTTTGCTGAGATAGGCGCTCTAGAAGGTGTGCTATGCCATATTGCAAACGAAGCCGCGAACTGCAAGACAATACGGGAGAATTCAATTAATTTGATCTACCAGCGTATCTACCAGTGTATATTGACAGGAAGAGCCATATCTTTGATTTGATCGTCACAATCGTCTTACCAACAGTTCGCACCGAAGTTCTGGACTATTTCCCAGTAAAAAACAAGTTATGCGAAAACACAAGTAAACTTCAGGTCCCACAGAACTGCCGATCGGGGCCTGTTTGCCAACTTGACTACATCCTCGCTAGTGATCCATTTGTTGAGAAGCGAGTAGGCGTCCATAATAGGAAATATATGTCCTACCCTGAGAATGTCGTACGGAGTTCAGCATTTTCTCGGGAAATTTAGCCCCAGTGTGACAAATGCTACAATGAAAACAAAAACCCATCAGAAGGAGCCTAAGATCGCTCCAGAAAACCAATGTCATTAGTCTCATTACGAATGGATGACGTCAAGGATATTGCCATATTTGTACACGAAAGGTAAGGGTATTCGAATCACCAAATGAAGGATATTGAGCATTCAGTGAGCAAAGATGAGATCGACATGCGCTGAGTGATGAGGGCGAGATAAATGTGCTCATTAAAGTCCAAAAAAAGATTACATGCGCAAAGCCAGCAGCAATCGTTCCTAACTAGTCCCAAAGGTTTAACGCTGCAGATAGGTGGTGGTCGGTTGAAGAAAGATTAAAGGTTGAGAAACGATTGAAAGTATGACTAGATGATCAGCATTATGATGGAAACGAGAAAACCGTTTCGCTCATGCTGTGTTGGTGACCCACTTAGATGGGACAAATTTAAAATATTAGGGAAGACTCATCGGAACCTGTCGGTCCAATCAGATCCTTTTGATGCCCGATATTTTCGGAGGTTTAAATTTGATTTATGGGATACAGGTATGGCTGATAGAGTTGCTGCCTGCCAGACTATAGACGTGTCTCACAGAACAAGCAGTGGAAAGAACATGTGAGAACAAAATCGTCGTAATATGTAATGCGAACAGTGTACCTGCATAGCCCATTGCAGCTGGGTCTCCCCATGAGACTTGCGTTGGGTCAACGGATTGCCACAGCGCGGAGGATGAATTGGCGCCCTCGGAGGTTGGCACCGTGTAGACGCCAGTTCCTGTGACCGAAACTGGTGGGTATACTGGCATGGGGGCATAAGCACCAGCAACCGGCTGCATCATCATAGGTTGACCGGGCCAAACAGCAGCTGTTGAGACCATAGGTGGATACTGCGATCCAGGTAACGCTGGAGGAGGAGGTAACCCATATGTATAGTTTTCAGAAACGGGTGGGACCGGTGCGACAGATACTGAAGTGGTCGTGCTTCCATTTACCGTGGACGTGCCAGTGTCACCATCATCGTCATCCTCAGAAGGTGCGATTCCGGGCGGAGGGGGTTGGCGGGGTGGTCGAGAACCCTGGGCACGTAGTCCAGCCAAGCGGCCTGGGCGCAAAAGTTACGAAGACGTGATGTATAAACAAGTCATAAGTTTCATATTGGCATCTTTAAACAGCTGTCATCTGGAGCATGTGCGAGAGTTTGGTAACCATGGGGAAAAGTTAGGTCAATTTGGTAGGCAAGACGTTGATTGCAAAAGAACACAACTACCAGCTACGTTACGTAAACCATGAGCAAGGTTGCAAGCCTGTATCTGATCAAATAAATAAGACGGGCATTGACGGGTGTGGCACGCAACCTTAGCTGAGACAGCACCTTGGAATATCACACATGGCAATGACGAAACAATAACCGTGCAATCTATCGGATCCAATGTGGAAGTAAGAAGATGCATCATTCCCCGGAAGAGGAAAACAATGAATCCCTATTATCCTGTGGTCAGAGTCTCAAAAATATATCACGAGCATGATGAGTCACAAAATTAAAGGTGGTAGGACATTTCACAACGTCCAGAAAGGAATTTTGTAGGTAACGCGCAACAAGGAGCAGGGAGAAATGTAAAGGAAATACCAAAAATTGCTCATCTGAAGGTGCTCACAAAATGTGTCATATGGTGGTGTCTGAGAAGGCGAGACCAACCAGCCGTCAATAGATCCAGTAATCATGGAGAGTTAATCGGGGCCAGGTACTCTGTTCCGCATCAACAGTATCAATTCGCGCCCCGCGCATTGAGATCAGAGTTCATGAAGTTAGCGCTCCAGATGAGTCTCCAATTGCTATGTATTCATGAGTACGGGATTTCTATATGGGTAATTGGGGTTTGTCACAGCCAGCTTCCAAATCAGATAGTCTTTCACATGCCCGACATGTTGAAACTGCAGGCTAGTGCTTATCCTGGCATGTGGAAGACTATCTGATTAGGAAGCTGGTTGTGACGAACCGCAATTATCTCCAATTTCTCAAAAGCGATGGCCACCCAAAAGGCAGGCTGAATTACTCTAAAAATGTCTGACTGATGTCCAGGTTGACAGGCTTTAAAAAACAGGAATTGACCATTTCTGCAATTACCTGTTTCGCTTGACCGGAACTTTCTTGGGATTCTTACTACAGCACGCCCCCTTCATCTCATAAGTTTGCACAAATCACTAACAAAAACAGTTAATATTAGAACCCACAATCAGACACCGTTTCATGGGGTTTCGGATAGTCCGGTGGAATTACTCTCAGAGTTTAAACTAAAACAGTCGGTAATGCAGAGAGTTAATCATTAAAGTTACATTTTCAGTCAAACAGGCAAGTGGATTAGGAGTGAATTGTCTCATTGCGCATTAGAAATGCTTTTGAATAGTATTCGGGTCATCCACTTCGGTTAACAGTGACAGCTGACACTGTGTTTAATAGTGTTCAACGGATTGTGAGTTTAACTAAGGAATAAATAACCTAGAATTTGGCCGCCTCGCTGGGATAGTGCTAACACGTAGTAGGACATGAAAGGAGGCTGGTTAATCACTTCGGATTGACTGATAGCCCTTGCAACGCTGCGTGTCATCTGCCAATTGTTTTTGGAGCAATGACTAATGCAATGGGAACATTCGAGCTGGAAATGTGGTGTTGCTGATGCAAAATTCCTAGTGGGTGTAACATTGGGAAAATTGATAGGCACAAGTATCGAATCGGAAACGGCTTAGCAGAACTCAAACAAACATCAAGATGATGGACTCTAGTGTATGTGCTAGAATGGCTTGTTATCGAGCTGCACTAAGTGTCCGTCTGACAAGACGGAACGAGGATCGCGGTCGAAGAAGTGCCGCTAGTTTAAGTACATGGTTATCGACAAAACCAGAGTAGGAATTATATCCATAAAGAGAAGAATAAATAAAAAATAAAGTGCTAGGCTGTACACTGTAAACGCGCTTCGCTGCCGTGCGACCAACACCAGTCGCACGCGGGCTGAGTAAGCCGCGAGGATGCCCACGCGGATTCGAACCCGAGCCGAAAGACTACGTGATAAGCTAGTTAGCTTGATGTTTGGTCAATACACTGTCCGGTGCGATGAAGACACTGTTCTGACGGCTCTACGTCCAATCAGCCGCGGTTGCAACACCCGCATTGGTTGTCATGATGAGGTTAACAAGAGTAACAGCATTCATCGCACATTGATAGTTGGATCACAGTTTATTTAGCCGATAAAATCCGACTGAGCTTCCCGGGTGGACGCGATGAGGCTTACTGCCTAAGCAGCAATTGTGCAAGCTTTGCTTCTGAAATCCGGGCACCGCACCAAAGATGAATCCCGTCGGTATTCTCACGCATGCGCGTCTAGGAAACATAACACACATGTTCCGAATAAGCGTAAACATCTGACCCGTGTGACTGGGAGCGTAAATTCCGGATCCAGTGAAAAACGGTAATTGTACCTAGAAGATGGCTTAAGTGTGCCACCAGTGTGGAATGCTGAATCAGTCAGTAAACTATTTGTCGGTTTAGAAGGAAGAGGGATACAGTGACATGGTAACATGAGAGCTGACTACGCCCCGACCGTCCGATTAGCCTAATCTCGAAGAGCATTGCTTTTGGATACCAGAAATTATCGATTACAGACTGCGTAGATCAAAGCAGCAGCGTCACACGACTCGGAACGCGGGCTCGGAATGTAACCAATCCTTAAATTGCCGTCAGGCACGAGACTAAAGAAGATGCAGTAAAGCGTTTACAAGGAAATGGTTACAAGAGCAGGCACTTTTGATTGTGACGAAGACTGCCCAACGGATATACTGGAACAAAAACGCCGCGAAGGCAGCGATCAATTGTTGATGAAGCAGACTTCAGAACGCAGTACCGCTCAGGGTCACAAGGAACCCACTGTGGATGTGCTTTCACTGATTGCTCATAAATCATGGAGGAAGATCGTCCAGAACACCTCAAAGGAAAATGAGCACATACTGAGGTGTTAACAAAGTAAGTAGTTTTCAGAATTCGCCCATTTCTGGTCAATGGAAAGGAAGAGGGTACCGGAAATCATCGGAGCCGATGTGCAAGACCAGAATTCTCATTCACCTTCAGCAGGAGCAGTAGGGGCGCACTTTTGTCCTACGGAGTCATTCTGTCAAAGACGGGCCATTGCAACAGTGGTAGGATACATTAGAGAAACGTCATAGACAAAAATGGAGAAAACAGTCATAAAATATATAGGTAGCAAAGGAACTTAAAGCTGAAGAATCGATGAATTGGATGGTAGTCGGTAGAACGTTCGCTTACCCATTCCTGAAGCCAACATCGATCCTGCCCCAACACCTAATTCGGCCATCAATGCTGAATATTCGCTGTCCATCTTCGCTCGTTCTGGGTTGGCGTTGAGCTGATCCATGTAAGCCACACCACCCATGTTGACTTTACAATCAGTAGACAAATGTCCAGCACCTAGAACGGATATAAACATGTAAACACTAGACATAGTGCTTAGAAAAGAAAATGCGAGAACTTGGGTAAAGAACAGCAAATAAAGTGAAGATTTCACTCTCAGTTCTTGTCAATATGCAAAACTTCTAACGTATAATAATAATAATAATAATAATAATAATAATAATAAATTGCCAGCTGTACGCCGTAACGGCGCTCCGCTGCCACGCGACCACCAACAGTCTAGCATGCGCTGAGTATACCACGAGGATGCCCACCCCTCGAACCGGTGACCTTAAGGTTGCAAACCAGGCGCGCAGACCACACGGCCACCGACCGAACGTAGGTTACGCGCTCATACCCATCAGAAAGGAAATCACGCATTATGATAGGGTAGTTTGAGGAATTCAGATGCAAAGCAAAGGCAAAATATACAAGGAAATATAGAAAAACATTAAAGCGAAGCATCGATCATCGAAGTGATTAGACGAGAATAATTACCGACTCAACGGATGGGACTTACTTAAAATGCACAGCCGCTGCGGGTTTCACACGTCTTTCGACCTTTAAAAGCGTAATGCACCGACAATTACTGAGTCGATGCGCAACCAAATATAGTTCGCAACAAACATCCACACAAATAAATCAATCGGGTCATTCGTCTACAGCATTATAGCACCGCCGTTGATGAAGCCCTCGACGAGGTTACAAGACGTACAAACGGGGTCCGATGGGGTTTGCAGACTGGTAATCGTCTAGGGAAATAGTAGGACATCAGCCCAACACCAAAAGCAAGGTTTACAATGCAATGAGGTAGATCGTTATTATATTGTTGTTATAGAGAATGGCAAACTCGCCGAGCAAACTTTTCGCAGTAACAAGTGCTTGAGTGGACCAGCTGCAGTGTTCCAGGACTTGGTGGACCTTGCCTAGCAGGCCTTTTTCTGTATAACAACACTGTTTGTGGCGGATATGTCCTGACATTATATAAAGTTACTATCCCTTGCTTCACCCCGATGAAGCACATTATTCCGTTAACCTAATGCTGAAATTGTGCTGAGGATTGGATCCCAGCTTAGTAAACGACAATACAGAGGGCTTAGGGGCATAGCAACCGGATACCGGCTCCTAAGCGCCGCGTTTTTTCTGACTAGACCCAGCGGCCATGCAAGTAGATTTAACCCGAAGTCCCCTAAGTCAACTGCTTACATCAGCTTGGTACAATGCCACCTAACAAAACCAGAGAGTACACAGCAATCACTACATCCCACTTTGTTGCACCTGCGTACTTCCCTGATCATGCACCATCACCATAATCCGCAAACTTCTTTCGCTCCTTCCAATCAAATTCCGATATCAAAGATACTTCCGATACTGATCAAAGACTTGGGTCAGTGGCTCACCTTCGAGTCTGGTCACAATTCCGGTAAGCACTGTTCAATCTAAGATTTCGCATGTGTATTGGGTAGCAAGCCGAATTAGCGCACACTTCGGAGTTTTTCGCTACCGATGTTTGTTGCCTTCCAGATCCACCCGTTGTTATCAAAATACAAGTCACCCATGACCCTGAGGCGAGATGTGGTGTTCGAGTACAAGGAACGTAAAACATTCACATATTTCATGGAGACGCCTTTCCGCTCAAGTATCACGACCCACTGAGTCGAAATCACTCTTGAAGCCGAGGAACACAGCAATTGTCAGCCTGTGGTAAGTGAGGCGTTGCTCCAATACCTGCCACAGAGTGAATATGTGGTCTATGTAGCCCCGTCCTGGGCGGAAGCCTGCTAGATGTTACCTAATACGGGATTCCCGTTTAGCCTTGAGTTGACGAACAAGCAGCACTGAGGCAGTTGCAACCAGAGATGCGACGGTTTAGGTACCTAGTCGATCCAATGAGCTATCTTGGGTGGAGCCCCTAAGGCTCATTGAGAGCTAATCCTACCAGGTTGGTCAATGGTTAGAAGTTAGGCAAACTCAGTCTTCTGGTCCTCCAGGTTGGAAACTGGAAATGGAATGGCGTCCATCTACACAAAAACAAATCGTTGCTATATCCGTTACCTTGCGGACAGGCATTCGAGCCAAAGGCTTTGGTTGAAGACTCTAATCGTTCTCATGTCTAGGTTTGAGAGCCCTGGCCGTATCCCAGCCCACGTGCAATCATGACTGTCTTCAAACTTCAAGCATATCATGCATCGGCCGTCGCGCAGATTATAAAGGGTCGTCTTTTCTGCTGCATACAACAAGGCGGATAAGCGAAAACATGCTACTACTTGTGGCTCCCTTCTTGTCTATCCAAATGTTTCTCTTACTCCCCTTCCAGCACCTTTTCCCTGCCTCTCTTCTACAGTTCCCAGATTAACTGACAGCAACCGCAATGTCACTGGGATCATATTATCTTCAGCTACTTTCCCGCACCACCCAATGGACGCCAATCGCTAACTCCTTATAAGGCCACACAGTTCCGTTTCCCCGTAGGGGCTTAACATCCGCTGTCAAGGACGCCTTCTACCACGAACTGAACACGCTACTAGGCATCGCTACTAGTTCAGATATCACAGCTCTTGCAGAGGATATGAATGCGCAAACAGGTTGTCTGATCTCTTCAGAAGGTCAGATAGGTGGTACACATGGGCTTAAGATCCAAAGAACGGATAACGGCGAGCATCTATTGTGGCTGTGCGCGGAACACTGGCTGTCTATTAGTGGCGCTGCTTTTAGACAGCGGGCGCCGATGTGCCACTTGGCGTCCAAGTAATGTTGGCCTGCGATGGACCTAAGTAGATCACACTGCCATAAGCTACAAATGGCGTGGCTCCATTCTGGACTCTCAGTCGTTCTAAAAGGTCTGTGTCGATTTTGAGCATACTTTGGTACTATTGTAGCGACGAAATAACGCGGCAATGAAGCACGATCTTTATTGGCGCAAACATACACACCACTCTACCACTCACACAGGCGCACATTAATGAGTCAGGTTTCTTTTCCATGTTGCACTATCCCTCCCGGCCTCTGCTCGTGGCACTTCTATGCTCCTTCTGGAGGTACGGGAACGCATCTTCTATGTCCGTTTTGCCCGTGTATCTTCGCTTCCACGCCTCCGATTCTGACAAGCCCGGAGTCGTTCGATAGCGTGCGCTTTGCTTGACCGTGGGTGTATCACTCTCCTCAGGGTTGTTTCTTGAAGATGCGATACCGGCGGTTTTGTCCGATTTACTGCGTCTTCAACAAATTCTCCACCTGCTTTGCTTGCCTCGGACTCACCCACGGATGCCACTCCTGTCCCGTTTTCGTCCCGTTCTATTGGGCCTGGGTTTCTCTAGAGAATCACCCCCATTGCATCGGTCTCCCTATCATCCACCTCCGTTTTAATGATCTAACCGTCCTTTGGGCAAGCGCTGCCTTCCGCCTCCCTACACTATGTCGTTTTTCCATTAACTTCACCCGTATCAAGCGTCTCTATCAATTGGCAATTGAGAAGTTATCTCAGTTCTCGATCAGGCTAGTCTACCAGGATGTTTCGTTCTCTCACCCTAATGACTCTGGAGTTCAATGGAATAGGAGCTCGGCTGCCATGCATGGCGCAGTAGCCAGTTTGCGGCACGATCAATCGTCACAGTAGCAATTATTGGACATTCGCCGAGAGGTCTATGAACCTGCAGTATCCAGAAAAATCTCCCGAGTGACTATGAGCACACTAGACGGACTACTGAACGCGAACTAAGCGGAGCCTGAGTATTGACAAGGAAGCCTAATGGACTAGTATGGATGAAGAAATAGAGGAAACAGGAGCAGTAAGCAACAATCACAAACTTTTCCAACTGATATGCACCACTGGTCCCAGGAAACCAGGCGTCAGCGGGACAATCAGAGACAGCGCGTGTGTCATAATTCACGACAAGGAATGCCGTATGGCTCGTTCAGCGGAGCACTTTTGAGATCAGTTCAGTTGGCCCCTTTCTCCTGAACTCCCTCCTACTCAGGTGATGCAGGCTGAGGCATGGATGGTTAGTTTAAAGACTCCAAAAAAGCCGGAGGTCCGAAAGGCGACCAGAGTCAATAATCGTTTTCGTGCCACTGACCCGGGTTCCCTCGCACTCGCAAAATTTAAAGGTTGGTGGTGAGGTCCTCCGCAAAGCACTGACCTAACTGTTCGAATATGTCTGGAAAGAACACACCGTCCCATCCAACAAGAGTGAATGGCAATATACAACAAGGTCAGTCGCATTGACTGAGCTAATTACGTGGGCAGTATACTAACGTCAGTTGTGACAAAATTACTGGCCTCGATTTTTATTCATCGCTTCCTTACGGAACGGGAATCCCGTGGAATGGAACAGCAAGCAGGCTTCCGCCCAGGACGGGGCTAAATAGACCACATACTAACTCTGCGCCATGCAAACCACAGACCTGCAGTAGCTGTGTTCCTCGACTTCAACAGTGCGTTCGACTCAGTCGATTGATGCATTCAGTTTGAGAGACTTGTGCGGATAGGCATCCCCATGAAATATGTGAACGTTTTACGTGCTCTATACTCGAACACCACAGGCCGCGTAAGGGTCTACGGTGACTTATCAGATATCTTCCCGACAACAAGTAGCGTTCGTCAGGGTTGCCCAATTTCTTCGCCTAAGTTCAACATCACCGTGGACTGCATCATGGAGTGTTCCCTTGCGAAGCCTCACGATACAGGCGTTGAGGCTCTGCCTGGCGGAAAGCTAGTTGACCCTGATTATACGGACGATAGTTTATTGCTGTTTAACGATGTTGGGTGGGTGGGGACAATCACCCCAGAACAAACTCTCTAAAGTGGCCACACTATTGGACATGCGCTTCGCACCTCCAAAGTGCACAATGTTGTTACAGGACCACTAGCCACTTGATGGACCTTGGGTAGCGAGGAACTCGAGGTAATTGATCAGTTCACTTATCTTGGTAGCTGCATCAGCAACGATGGGCGCATAAACAGTGAAGTCAGTTCACGTATTGCAAAAGCCACATTTGCCTTCTGAAATCTGCGACATCTGTGGCATCAGAAATGGGTCTCCCTCGGCCTAAAAGGCCGCATGTACAAGGCCACAGTGAGTCCGTCTAACTCCATGAGAGTGAGACTTGGCCCTTTCGATCTGGGGATCTGCAGCGGCTTCAAGTATTTGATCACCAGTGCCTGCGAAGTACCGTTGCTGTCGGATGGCATCAGCGTGTCCGCAACGAAGATGCGAGTGCTGGACGGTGACAATCAGACTAGTTCCTCAGAACGACAGAAAGCCCCGAATAAGTTGTGCTAGCTTGGGCACGTACTATGTATGCCGGAACCTGACAGCGGGAAATGAAGTCACTGACGATCAAACTCGGTGCAGTTGGTCCATCTCGAGTTCCAGGTTGGAGTCCATGCCACTCGCCTTGTGCTTGACTGTCGTTTGGTAGTCGGACTAGTTGTTTAAAGTGCGACTGGTTTTGAGTTATCTGTGGGGTAATGGCGGAATATGACGAGAGGAAGTAAAAGCCACAGGGAAACTGTCTTGCCGATGCCGCTTTATTCTTGCACGATAGCCGGCTGTTTGTGACGGTATGTTGTTGACACAAGGTGTAGGCGTTTTGATTCGGAATGCATGTCTAGGGCACTGAGATTTTGCGCTAGGTCGCCCTTCTTTCCTTGTTCCGTAGGCCACTATGGTTGTACGGTAGCGAAGCATTAGTTCATGTGGCTAATGTACCGCTGCTGTTGATGATGACACGAGCACAGAGCCCTAGTACCGAGATTTAATGGAATATCTCCCATGATACCGGCATTAAACTGCTTCTACGTTCGTTTGGTAACATAAAACTGCTGCAACCGATTAGGCTGGTAATGATACTGCACAGCGTGACAACATTGAGGTCGAACTGTTGGAGTGGTTCCCGGTTGATAACAATTCGACTTCGCAATTTATACAGGGTCCTCAAACACCCTAACCGACTACAAATACACATCGGACAAAGACAACCCTTATGGTGGACTCAACTGGCTTTAGATTAGGATTGAGAAATTAGATGTGGTCCTTCCTGGAAACTGCAATGCACCGGTCGAGCATCTACTGCTATATGAGTGTGACTATAGTGGTCGTACCCTGATAACTACGATCGACCTCTCACGCTAGAGAAAGATAACTACCATTTCCTCAAGAGTTTAAACACACGAAAGACAACAACAGTTTGGGTACTCAATAGTCAACATACGCGTGATCACAGACTTATCAAATCACAATCAGATTTAGAGGGTGAGGCAGTGTTTGGGATTGCAGGACAATTTGTTTCACACACCTGGATTAAGACCAAACTCTGGTCCGCAAAGGCATCTGCATGAGCTTCAGGGTTTGCTCGAAACAAATGTACTGTATGCTCGATACCATGAGGTATCAACCTTCCTTGCCAGATGCACCACATATGGTCCGCCTCGAGATGTTGAGCATCACTCAAAAGCTCTCCCAGATAACTCGGATTACAGGCCACCGAAGACATGATGTCAGATTTACGAGGCTGCTCGGTTACCGATCACTAAGTTGCGTAAGTGCATGGACCGCTGGGCAGAACAGTTGACTCTCAAATCAGTTGGTCACCATCCGTCTGCATGCTTAGTCGAGTGCAGTGGAGAGGTTCCACTGGGATCACCCACTGTAGTGGAAGTGTACTTTGAGCTTCGACAGTTGAAGCGATTTAACAATGCCGGTATAGACGACTTTACTCCGGAGCGTTTCAAGTGCGGTCGCGAAGCAATTGCCAATCAGCTAACGGATTTTGGAGTGAAAATAAGTAGGTTATCGTCTCGACCTTCAGGAAGAGTGGCCGTACTCTAAGCATTAATCACAAAAGAATCAGCCTCATGTTAGATGCCTTTCAAACCACAGATTATTCTCAATTTAACTATACTGACGTAAATAACAGATTTGTTTCCGTCCCGGTCGAAGTTGAGTGGATCACATGTTCACGTTGTACTACATCCTCGAGCATCCTCATCTTTACCACCGGCTTATATATGTCGCATTTGTGGACATTATGGTTGTGTTCGACTCGGCCGATCGGCTGAACCTATAGAATTCGTGCAAAAGGACGTGGTAGCTGAAATGTACGTCACCTTTTCAGTATCACACAATGTCTATTGTAGAGTGAGGGCTTGCAGTAAGCTCTGTTTGCAGTACGATGAGACTGGATGGGAAGAACATGGGTACCCCATGCCCCCGTTCCTGTACACTTTTGCGATTGGGTACACCGGATGGCTTGCAAGGTTCTGGTGCTTAGCTTTTTCACGGTAACTGCGAGACTGGCGTGGACTCTGTGGAAGACATTTCCTTGTTCGGTGACGATACCGAGAGTATGCAGCTAATGCTAAACTGCATTGGGATTTAAGTAACTAGATATGGCATGACGTTTGCGTCTCGAGACGCAAAGTATTACTCCAAGATTGGTATCCACCTGCCCCAGTTCTTACACTCGAAGTGAACAGCTTCGTGTACCACGGGAACTGTTTCTGCTGATGACATCAATGAATTTATTTTCCCTCGATCAGCGCTCAGCAAACTAAAGCATATGTAGCTTCATCGGGACGTTCCACTTTGGGAAAGGACAAGGTCTACACCGCCTGTGTTTGTGCAGTGTTGTTGCACGGAAGTGAGTCCTGTCTAGTTCATGTGAATGACATGTATTAACATTAGGCCTTTGAAGATGGTTTGTGTGTGGAGAGAACACGTTTGCAACGACGATGTTAGATGTCGCGTTTTAGCTAATATGTGCCATCTTCTTAACAGACTCGTTTCAAAGCGCCAGTTTGGATGGCATGGTGATGTACAACGCAAGCCGTGTGAGCAGTCCCCATGCCGCGCTTTATTCGCTCGCAATGAAAGAAATCGGGAGGCCATCAGCTTACCACATGACGGCAAAACACTGTATTCCAGTTTGGCTGTAGTCAAGCTCTTGCCTCGTCCGGCTTGGAATACAAGGATGAAGAACCTTACAGGGAAAGGGCATGAAATCCCACTCTATGTGGGAAGTGCATGGGCTAAAGCCTCAAATCAACTGTTCAACCTCGTAACGATCATAGATATAAAGAGGAAATGGCAAAAAAAGTATAAATAAATATTGACCTCGGCTCCGCTTCTGTGACTTTTGTAGCTAACACGTAGGTTTGTGATATCGTTTTTGATCTTTTCAAGTTAAGAAAGCTATTAGAAGTACGTAGACACACTGCACTGACGCTTCGCTGCTACGTGACCATCACCAGTCGCGCATGGGCTGAGTATACTGCGAGGACGCCTGCCCCTACACGGATTCGAACCGGTGACCAAAGGATGGCAAGCCGTCGGCCACCGGCCGACATGGTTTTTGATGGCTCTTAGTCTATCTTACAAGCTATCGCTAGTATATACTATGTATTTCGTACGGAACAGGAACATAACTAATGCGCAGTGAAGACGTAATAAGGTTAACCGTTTTTATTTTATGAGTGCTTAATGAGCAATGAATTTCGCCAATTAGCGACACTATGGAGCGTCCGCTAATACTGAACCACGTACGTTGGTAAGGTCATTTCCTCCGTAAGATCGCGGACCGCCTTTTCCAGTGTGTATTATATACTGTTATCGCATCTGGCTGCTCGAAATCACCAGGCGACCAACCTGGCAATGTGGCATAAAGGTATGAACAGATTGGCCGAGATTTGGTCAGACTGGTACGTGAATGACGGAATCGGAGAGGGCCACACCAGTGGATGAAAACCTCATCGGGTATGATACAGTCGCCGAATCGACCGGTGATTGTTAAGGAGAATGAGCATCAAAACACCTGTTTCAGTTGACCAGACGCAAGAATACTTATTTTTTAAACCAAGCAGGACAGAGTACTATATATTTAAACGCCGTCCCCTCAGTCAGAGAGTGAGCCAACGTATTCCGCGACACGTGACAAAAAGCGACATTTTACAAGCCCAACTAATAGCTAAACGTAACAGATAAAAAGCAAGACTACAAAACGAACTGGGGTGCAATTAGCAAACGCAGACACATACCACCGCAGATTCCACACTGAATTTTATTGGTGGCGATTGTTTGAGCCTCGGCCATAGCTCGAAGTTTCATCAAACCCTCGTGTTCTCGGAGAGTGCCATTTAATAAAGCTAATTCGCGAAGCTGTGCTTTGCGTAGATCATTTTGACTCTCGGGAACCTCGATGCCTTGACGGATGATTTCGTTAATTTTTCTCACTGCCTTTTCAACCGCCTCAGCGATAGGAGCAGAGACGAAAGCGTGTAGCGGTTCATCTTCACCTGGCATAGGAAGCCCATCACGTCTGCCCACTTTCCCTTCTTTTACTGACCCTTTGCCACGGATGATGACTTTTGCTCCCGTCTAAAACGAAAAAAAACCGTTATGACAAGGAAATCAAGAGAATGCGGGACTATTGTGAAAAATGTAAAATAGTGTGGAAAAGTACTAAGAGTGATGCATTATCAGTTGAGTTAAAGAAAAAAACCCACGACTAGGATCCTCAAGATATAAGGACAAATATGTGCTTCAATATGACGCAACACCGTATCATGATAAGATGGTTACAAACAGCATGATGGCCACAGGACACAGGCCATATCTGGGAACTATCTGCCTGCATCCGTCTCCGGTATGCGACCCCCATGGTACCTGCCGTGATGAAAAATCGACTTGTGTTGTACTACGCAATCCATTCAAGTGACAAACAGGGAGATGCACAAATTAAGGAGGCACTTGCCGAAAAAATAACATAAAAACGGGAAGAGGATGAATAATATTAAAAGTTAATTGTAGAAAAACCTAAACGGAAGATTAAGGTGGGCGGAGGGGCCGAACACCCGAAACGAAAAATGGGTGTAAACATGTCGATGACAACGTGACAGCAATACATTCCATTAAATTGTTACCTATGCTGTGTTGATGTCAAGGCAGGCATGTAAGACGACGCGCACCAATTCGACTAGGCCCTCAAGCAACGTGTTACAGGCGTTAGACGGGCTACCGGTGGGAAAGTGCCAAATACACCACCACTTTGTACCGAAGCTTTGCTACCGGGTGACCACTGGCCCTTACATGTGGGTTAGGGGATGTGAGGAGGTTGCATCATCATCAGTGGAGAAAACTCGAGCTTAGGGGATAATTCGATGCGAAACCAGACCGGACACCCTCGAATACTAGATAATAGCCTCTTGTTACTGTTGATGGTTAGACAAATTCAAGTTTGATGCATATAATTTCAATATTCACAGATAAGTGTATGTCGCGCGGAACTGAAAGCTGACCGACGGCTTAAAAATTCAGGAGGGACTGATCGTTGTGCATATGAACCAGTTCGGTGGTACAACCAGCAGGAGGGATAAAGATGCTCATAAATGTCAGTCCATTGGTTGCTACGAATGATAGTTTCGTAATGACAAAAGCTGATGGCGCTTCGACACAATATTGTGAGTGATTTGCACTTAAAAGACGTGAAGCACACCCATGATAGCGGCGACAAGCATTAGTGTGATCAGAAGCGCTTTCATATCAGGTGGATTAGGCCAAAAAAGGGTTGCCCTATGAACAAGTTCAGCATAACAGCAACTAATACAGAAGGAATGGAAAGTGTGCGAGAGTTGTACGTGGTCAGCTAGAGCACAGAAAAAAGAGATGCAAAAATAAGACAGACCCACAAACTGCCTGACGTGAGCAATTCGACAAACTACGGTAATCGTAGCGGAACAAACAGTCGTTAGGATAAGAATATATATGGTTGGCGGCATCCGGTTTCGGATTTGCCTGTCACTGTGGCAAGCCACAGGACGCCTGCGCCTACAGAGGGACCATGGATGGCTTGCGCTGCACCACCCACAGCTCCAACCACATACCTCATATCCAGTGTAAACCCGAAGGAATAAGACTGGGAGGCATGCGGATGGGAACCACGTTTCATCAACGGAGCCGGCCCACACTCATTCACAGGCAAACACAAGCACGCTGTATTTGGGGAATCAAGCGCACACAAGGCGGTGGCTGGACCGTAGTCCGCTCCACACTGAGTGCATGGAACCGCTCTTTGAGCCTAGCACGACCACAAGAACCGTGCACCTCGTCCCCTCCAGCAACGACCAACTGCCTCCTGGAGCCAGTATGAACGATGTAGTGGGTAATAGACAGGTAGGCACCTTGTCAACATACACATCAAGCGCAACCATACCAGGGATATCAAACAACAGCCATTCACTTTAAACGACACGCTGAAATAAAATAAATCCAGTAATGCATACAGATACAGTGGCATAACTCTTCGCCAAATTACCATATGAAGTAATTTGGTGAGCAACAAATCGGTGATAAGTAAGAAATGTCCACAAGTTACTTAAAATGCTACAAACGCAACAAAATTACCGAAGATAAGCGCAATTAGTGTAAGCAGCGTGGCCAGTTAATAGAACATTATTCAGGGAGGCAGAACAAACCAAATAAAGCGGAATGGAATTTATCCAGATTAAAAAGAACTAGTTTAAGTGTAAGTTGGTTTAGCCCAACTGCGGTGAAGAAGCATCAAGAATGCAACATCAGCCTCAGCATATATATATATATATATATATATATATATATATATATATATATATATATATATATATATATATAAAGTACACACCATACTTTGATGCTTCAATCGCCAAGCGGTTTAGTGCAAGTTGGACGACGTATGGATCGCCATCCAGCAAGACGATATCATCAGCATAATCCAAATCAACAACTCGACTATCTGGGAGGAGCTCAACGCCAGCGTTCAACGAATCGCATAGAGCATTCTTCAGGACATCCTCAATGACAAAGTTGAATAAGAACGGAGAGATAGGGCATCCTTGTCGAACTCCACTGGAGACCACAAAGGTAGTCGAAAGCTTGCCATAAGCCCTAACCCTGCCCGAGGTCAGACTACATAGAGCGCACAGTATGGAGACGAACTTCTCGGAGACACCATTCCTCAGTAGGCAGTGCCATAGTGCCGTACGATCGACAGAATCGAAGGCTGCACGGATATCCAGGAACACAGCAAGCGTTAGCCTCTGATACACATGGGGGAGCTCGAGGATCTGGCGTAGTGTGAAGATTTGATCGATACAGCCGCGACCAGGACGAAACCCAGCTTGTTCTTCTCGTTGCAACGATTCGCGTGTTGGGAATAGCCTGCTAAGTAGGATAGACACCAGCAGTTTGCAAACGACGGGGACTAAGCTTATACCTCTGTAGTTAGAGCAGACTGGGCGCAGGCCCTTTTTGGAGATGGGGACGACTATCGATTCACTCCAAGATGATGGAGCTTTCTTTTCCGACCAAATTTTCGAGAACAAAGCGGTGAGTTCTCGAACCAGCGAAGCACCACCATCTTTAAATAGAGCTGGAGGAAGACCATCAGAGCCGGGGGCTTTATAATGCTTCATGTGCCGGAGCTCCTGCTCGAGTTCCTCGCAAGAGGATCTGTGGGGGTAGACCACTCGGCCCCAGCGCGAGCGCCAGAGGTAGCAGATGGAGTTGGGGGCCAACAAAACTGCGAGTCAAAATGTTCGGCTCATCGCTCCAACAATCGTTGAAGATTGGTGATTAAGGTGCCATCCACTTCGCATATTGTTTCACTTATACCAGATCGAACACCTTCGGTGACTCGAATGAGATGAAAAAGTTTTCCGGTATCACCAGAGAAACTAACAAGCTCCATCTCCCTAGGACGTTCACATCACTAAGCTTCGCGGTCCATTTGCAGACTCCTGCGCAACTCTCGACCAAGGGATTTGCGTTCTTCACTGTGTCTGGAATCCGACGGGATCAAGCGGCGTTTGTGCATCAGCGACAAGGCGACGGTGGAAATCCAGTGCTTCGGTGGGTGACGTGCAACTCCACAAGTGTCGATACTGGCGGAAACTAAGGCACCTTTGATCTGCGCCCACTGCGAATCGAGATCATCATCAATAGTTGAGCTAAGCAAGGTTGACAGTGAGGCTTGGTACCTGGTTAAAATCGCAGGGTTTCGTAGATTTGCGACGTCCGGTCGGTAGTGAGCGCGCTTAGGTGATCCTCCGAAACGCATGCAAATCTTAGCACGCACCAATGCGTGATCGGAGTCTAGATAAGTTGACCAGTACGATCGGCAGTCCGTTACGCTTCCGCGCCATCTATAGCTGATTGCTATGTGGTCAAGCTGGGAGCACTCTTGCGTTTGTGAGGGCGGGCACCACGTAGCAGTGTGTCTCCTCGAGTGCCGAAAACTAGTGCTCGAAAGATACAAGCGATGATCAGAGCAAAGAGCAAGCAGTCTGTCTCCATTGTCTGATCGACTGCCACCGAGACCAAAACTACCCCCAAGGTGATGTTCGTTTGGTGGAAGGCAGCCAACCCGTGCGTTAAAGTCCCCGGCAAGAATGACTATATCAGTCCTTTTGGAGGAACGCAGAAGCTCATGTAGCTGCTGGTAAAAGCTATCTTTAACTGTATCCGGGCTGCAGTCTGTAGGGCCGTAGGCGGAGACGACAAACAAGGCACGCTTAACGTCTCGACGCCTGCTTATGTTACATGAACCTCGTAGTCTGACTGCACATAGCCGACTGTTGACTGGGATCCAGTCAAGCAGAGCTGATTCAGCCCTGGCATTCAGTGCAACCCCAACACCAGATTGGCGAGTGGCGGCAGCTTCTGGGTCTCCGGAAAGCCGCAATTGGTATTTGGCGTCAGGGTTTACCGATGAAGCCATTCTGATGACGGTGCTAGAGTCTTGTAATCTGGTCTCTGAAAGGCAACAGATGCCTACCGAAAGCGTTTCAAGAGTACGGGCCAGACATGCTTGTCGTCGATTTGCATCAAAGTTCGAGCATTAAACGCTGCGAGGATGAATGGAGAACCACGTCGAAGTAGAGCTGGAGCTTCGGTGGGGTGAGAGGCGGTTGCGATCGGAGGACATTGAAAACCGGGAGTTTGGCTGTTACTTTCATCAGTTGCGAGACGTAGGTCGTTTGTGACGGTGACCGACATATAGGTGAAGGACGGGAGGTGGGGTGGTCTGTGAGTGTAGGTTGAGCGGTTGAGTTAGCATAGAAGATAGGCATAGCAGGAGCAGTAGTAAGCAGTGTGGTCCATGATTCGTCAGTGGAAGTGAGACTACCCGGTTGCCCAGGCTGAAGTAGAGGGTTGTCTTAGGGTGCCCTACTCCGAGCCTTCGATCAAAGATCTGACCTACAAGGCAGCAGGGCGATGTGAAGGCATCGCAACCCGTTGGGAGCCGGTGACCAAATAGATGGTTCATACGTCTTTCGGTCGGTGAAGGACCAGGGGCCCAACATACCCATGGAGTACAATGTCTCTCAGGGAGAGGCAAGGGA